ATACTGCGCTGTATGTTAGCTAACTAAAATTTAAATTAAAAAAAAAAAAAAAAAAAGGAGTTACAGGGATTCTCAGAATGTTCATTCTGTGAGCTCCTTGTTGCTGTTATCTAACCTCACATTTCCCTGACGGTCACCTCCGTCTCTGATGTAGTACTACTCTGTTAAGGGACGCATTTGTTGTCCTGCGGTTAGACACAATGATCTTTCACTTAGTGTTTTAAGTTTGACTAGATTTAAAAACCTGTTTAAGGTGCCTCCTGGGTGGCTCAGTCAGTTAAGTGTCTTGTCTTCGGCTCAGGTCACGATCTCACAGTTTGTGAGTTCGAGCCCCACATCGGGCTCGGAACCCGGAACCCACTGTAGATTCTGTGTTTCCCTCTCTCTCTCTCTGTCCCTTCCTCGCTTGTGATCATGTGCGCGTGCTCTCTCTCTCTCTTTCTCTGTCTCTCTCTCAAAAATAAACATTTAAAAAATTACAAAAATAAAAACAGATCCAGAAAGTTAGATGAGAGTGTGTTTACCTGAAGTTTTTTAAATCAGCCCAACATTGTTACAAAGTTGTAAAGACCAGCTAAAGGACTTGGATTAAAATCTTGGGTCTGTCCCTACCAGATGTATGACCATGGACAAATTATGCACACTGTCCTGAATTTCTTCTCCTTCAGGAAACAGCACCTACCTTCTAGGGTTGCTGTGAGGATTAAATGAGATAATAATACATGTTAAAGGGTTTAGAGCAATGTCTGGCATATAGCACATGCTCATTAAATATTAGCTACTATTTTTGGGTAATGGAATTTTAAAAATTAAACAAGTAATATAAGGAACTGTTTTAGGATGAGCAAAGGAAACAATCTTCCTCAACTGATTATGAAATAGTCTCAATGTAGAAAAATTAGAAATTCATACATGCAAACTAAATCACAATCTGACTACCCTTCCAAGTTTTCATATGCGTTTTCATATAAATGTGCATATGAAAATATATTAAACATACACAATGTATTCAATAAATATATACAAAACGGTAATAGAATGTGCTGTGCTATTTTAGACATTTTTCTAGTCGGATTTCTATGTTTTAATGGCTGAATAGCATTTTCTATGAAATACACTGTTTTATAGAACCAATACTCTTATTTAGATTATTTCTAAGTTTCACTCAAATAATGCTTGGGTAAGCATTCTTCTAGCTAAATTGTGCATATTATCTATTCCCTTAGGGTAAATTCCTGGAAGTAAATTGCTGGATCAAACATATGCATACTTTAAAGCATTTTTTCCTTTTCTACACTTTCAAAAATTATAAATGTAATGCTGATCACAGGGGAATTACGGAGGTTTATAGGAAAAAATTAATCTCCTATTCCCTCCTATTTCTCTTTAACAGGTGACCAGTATTAAATCTGTTGTGTGTTTTCTACTTGAGCTTCTTTTTTTCTTCTTAATGAAATTGGGATTAAATCCCCCAGGTTACTTTGTGACTTGCTTTTATTCTTATTCGTACCTCTCAACGTGAATGTCCTCGAGTTTTAACTTGCTCATTTATGAGCTGCAGAAAACTATGATTAAACCATTTTCCTACTGAAGAACATGAACAGTGCTTTAAATATTTCTGCTTTTCTACATACTGCTGCAATTAATATTTTGAAATCTTTTGATACATATTCCCAATTTGTACTCCAGCAGTTACCATTTTTGCATTCCCACCAGCACTGGGATTGATTCCCTTTACCCACACCATCATTGAGCATTATTTTTGATCTTGTGCCAATCCAAAAGGCAAAAAACTGGTATCTTGTTGTTTTAATTTGCATTTCTTTGATTACTAATTAGATTGAACTTTCTCATATGTCTATTGGTCAATTTGCATTTCTTCTTTTGTGAGATGCCTGCTTGAGTCTTTTATGTACTTTGCCACTAAAGTGTTTCGTTTCTTGATTAAATAGATCACTTAATTGTCCTGTGTTGCAGATATTTCTGCCTGGTTGGCTTTTGCTTGTGACATCTATTTATGGTTCTTCAGGCCTTTATAAGCAATTGAATGATTTCCTTTCTTTCTTAATTGAAGTATAATTAACGTAATATTGTATTAGTTTCAGGTGTGCATTGAATAATTTTTATGTTAAGTATTTCAGTCTCTGTATGTCTGCCTTTACTGTCACTCTTAAGGCTTTATTAGTTGATGATTATATAAAGTTCTTTCTACTCTAGAAATACTGGCATGTGAAATAGGCTCTATTTAGTTTTTCCTTTTTCAAAAGATTTACCTGTTCTAAATCACCTTTTACTGAATATTTCTCCCTGAGCTTAGATGCCACTATTATCATGTTAGTGACTTTTAAGTACATACAAGTCTCTTGGAACCATTCTTTTATCTATTCCTATATTGTTTTAATTATTATAGCTTTACAAAATATTAATGTACAGTCAAGCATATACTCTCCCCCATTACTGTACTTCTAAAACATTTTCTTCCTTGATGTAATACATTTATTCCAAGAAAATTTGCAAGTCATTTGATTAGGTTCCTTGCCCCCTTACATCAAAGAAAATACCATTGAGATTTTGATTGGAATAGCATTATCAGTAGTTATTTAATAATGAGCCATGGAAAGAACGTAATCTTGAAACGTAATATGTTTTCCATTTCTTTAGCATTCCCCCCCCCCCCCATACAAGTCTAGGATCCTTTTGCTAAATTTATTCCTAGGTATAATATGCTAATTGGCATGGAATATCTTTATGCCCATCATGTCTTCTTCCTGGGTATTGATACATTTGTAACCTGTTTCCTAACTGGGTAGTCTTATTAGTTCTAGTGAATTTGAGTAGATTCTTTTGGCTTTTATAAACATACTGTGATATTATCTATCGATAGTCATGATTTTAGCCCTCCTCCTGCCCCTTCTGCCACTAACTGCCTTTTATTTCATTTTTCTTCCTATAGTATTGGCTAGAATGTCCAGGATAATTGGAAATAGTAAAAGTAGCAATAGGTATTCTTGTACCATTTCCAGAAATTCTTCTGGCTCTTCCTACTAAGTTTGATCTTGGATGTTGGTGTGGGATCTTTACATTTTCAATTTACAAGAGGTTTTAAATTAGAATAGCCATTGAATTGTTTACTGGCAAAGTAAAGCACACATAGTAAAGAGTTCCGGTAATAATACAGGTCCTTCTGTGAAAGGGGGAGTTTATTTCATCCTTTCCACTTGTTTTCTTTCTCTCAATGGTTTTTTGTTTACTTTCATCCTTCTCTGGAGCTTTTGGGTGCTATACGACATAAAAAAGTAAATTTGTGTGAGACCAGGGCATAATCAGTATCATAAGATTAGCCTGGATGAAACTCCTTTAACAAGCCTGCTTTCTCTCGTCCTTGAAGGTATGAAGTGTTCTTGAAGTGTTCTAGAGTCCCTGGCCATGTGTCCCTGGGTGACAATAGAAGTACACTGTACTTGAAGCCTGAGCTTTCTGAGGAAATGACAGGCCCCCAAAACTGACTTTGGGTTTGCCCTATCCTACCACCATAAACACTGAGAAAAGAGCTTATTTGTTGCTTTGTCCGTGGTATGTGTGCTTTATGAACAACATTATAGTTTGCAGTGTGGTTGGGAGACGCCCACACAGTCACTGAGAAAGCTGAGAAGCAACTTCTTAACATACCTAGAAGTCCTTGCTCCAATTTATTGTGTCTGCTAAAGGGCTAAGGAAGCCGAGGGGGTGGGAGGGGGGCTCTGCTTCGTGGAGCTATTTTACAGTGGTATTAGTTCTGCATCTGTTTCTATTGGCTTTTTTTTTCTTCCTCTTATCATGGGTCATGGTTATTTTGTTATTTTTTTTTTACATGCATTGTGATTTTTGGTTGAATGAGAGTTACTGTGAATTTTGCCATGTAAAGTTGGTAAATATTTTTGTGTCCCTATAAATATTCTTGAACTTTATTCTAGGATGTAGTTGAATTACTAGGAGACCGTTTAATCCTTTTGAGGCTTGCTTTTAAGCTTTGTTAGGTGGAATCAGCGTGACCTTTAGTTAGCTCGCTAAGGAGATCATACTTTTCTAAATACTTTCCCCAGTGTCTCACGAATTTCAGTATTTCTCCACTCTGGCTGGTGGGCATGTCTGTGCAATCTCTGGGCATTATTCTCGCTCTCCCTTCAGGTCATTCCCTCTCCCTGGCCTTGCACGTCTGCCTTTCAAGGGGGCCCTCTGCAGATGTGCAGAATTCCCACTCCTCTGCAGCTTCCTCCTCTGCAGTAATTTGCCTAATGAACTTAGTCATTGTGACTTTCCGGGACTCTTCCCGCTTCACCCAGTAAGAAAACCAGGCTCCACCAGGGCTCCCCACTTGCACTGTGGCCTGGAAACCCTCCCTAGACAGTAGCCTGGAGCCATTCCATGGTTCCTTTGTTTCCCCTCTGTTTTGGGCTACCTGATGGCAGCTGTCTGAACACTGAGGCTTCATGTACCTTGCACACCCTTTTAGTTATTTCAGGCCGAAGGTAAACCAGTCCCTGTGATTCCATTTTGGCCAGGGTGGAAATTTTAGAAGTACTTTTTAAAAGTCTAAAACGTTCCTACTTTGAGAGTCTGTTGAAAAGGTCCTTTACCACAACACACACTTTCTGATCTGAGGTTAAACATAGCCAGTAAAATTTCATGCCACTATAAAATAAAATCTGACTGTGGTAAGATTCAGGTGCATTATGCGAATTTTCGGTTATTGGAAATGTTGCTTTGTTTATATTCTTGAAATTCTTCTATTGAATATTTTCAGTTTTTGAATGTCTTGAGGGACTTGATGCCATTTTTCTCCTTTTTTTCATTCTTGGGAAAGTAGACCCAATTTTTCCTTTCTTCCCTCTCCAACTCACAGAAGAACTGATATAAAGCATAACTGTAAAATTAAACATAAGGTTTTATGGACTTTCACTTTTTATTCATACATATAAAATATGGACACTGGTTTGATTGGAAAATTTAATTTTTTTCAGGTGACTCCAAGTATGATGTTCTATGTAAAGAAGAATTTATCGAACTCAAGGACATATTCTCTGTCAAACTGAAGCGGCGTTATTCTGCTAAACAGCAGGGAAGTGGTACTTTATTAGGTATCACACTCTTCATATGTTTGAAAAAGGAACAAAATAAATTAAAAGATTCTACGCTTGATCTTATTAATTTAAGTGAAGACCACTGTGATGTGTGGTTTAAACAATTCAAGAAAATTTTGGCAGGTATGTACTCCTGGTGGGAAATTTTAATGAGTTTCCTTGTTGTAGGTTATTAATCTCAACATGATGTACTTTGAGTACAGTGATCCTTGATTATCTTAAGATAGTTTGCTTTTATTAGTTTGCTGAGGGTGTTTTTCATGAAAAGTATTGAATTTTATTACATGCTTTCTCTACATCAATTGAGATCATCATGTTTCTTTCCTTCGTTCTGTTGACGTGGTGGTTTATTATATTGATTTTTGTATGTTGAGCCATCCTTGCATTCCAAAAATCCCACTTGATTATGGTATATAATCCTTTTAATATGTTACTGAATTTGGTTTGCTGGTATTTTTTAAGTTTATTTATTTTGAGAGAGAGAGAGAGAGAGAGAATGAATGAACAAGTGGGAGAGGGGCAAAGAGAGAATGAGAGAGAGAATCTGAAGCAGGCTCCATGCTGTCAGCATGGAGCTCATTGTGGGTCTCGATCTCACCAACAATGAGATCATGAGCTGAGCCGAAAACCAGAGTCGGATGCTTAACTGACTGAGCCATCCAGGCACCCCAGGTTTGTTGAGGGCTTTTATGTCAATATTTGTAAGAGATATTGGTGTGTAGTTTTCTTTCTGGGTTTTTTTTTTTTTTTTCTTGTATCTTTTATCTGGCTTTTGGTATCAGGGTAATGCTGACATCGTAGAATGAGTTGGACAGTAACTCTTTTGAATGATCACTCCCATGAAAAAGCTTTGATAATCTGAAATAACACAGTTCTTAAGTAATTTAGTTCACTTGTTGTTCTTGAAAGCATATTTATTTTTCTATTCATGTCTTTTGTACTTTTATTAGAATCTATTTTTCTTCCACAAACATACTGATGGCAAGTGCATATATATACTGATTGGTTTGAGGATACCAGTTTGTCTATTTAAGGCTTGGTTTATCTAAAGGTTAATATCCAGAGGACAGAGCATATATATACAAAAATATTATCTCATAATGGATTCAATGTATCTGGAATTTTTAAATGGCATTTATATTTTATGTGCTAAATCAAATGCATGAATACAAATATGCAGTTTGGATCTCTAGAACATATCTAGTTAAAACATAATCAAACCGAGTTTCAGGATTGATTTCTTTTTTCTCAGAGATTTGTAAATCTTGCTTCCTTTTGTGCCCATTTCATTCCGTTTGCCAGATGGATCAGGGTAGAGGCAGCTGGTGTAGTTGATGGTGCAATTTGGTGTAAGATGACACACGGCAGAGAGGGGTGCCAGACAAAGAGCAGGCACACGGTGAGGTTAGAGATTTGCAGGCCAGGCATTACTGATCAAGAAGACCGAGGACCCAAGTTGGCCAAGGGCAGCCAACTGAGAAGGTCATGCCCATAGACAATGAGCTGAAGTGACATATTAAAACTAGGAGACCCGGTTACCAAGTGGACTTGTGCTTCCTTATTGGCTCCTTTGGGACCTTCAAGGAGAGTGGATACTTTCAAGAAGGCAGGAAACTACAGAGACCATAGTATAATTCATGTCTCTGGAAACCTAGTGAATATATATGTTTAATGAAGAGCAGTCTAGTGTAACAGTAGACCTTTTACAATGTTCTTATTTTAAATACATATGAGAAGAGATTTTAGAAAGTTTAAATAAAAATGAAAAACTTAGTTAAGTCAATTGAATTAAAATTTTTTTGCATGGGCAGGTACTCAGGAGACTTTCATGTTCTATAAAATAAGAATGTGCCATTTGATTAGGAGTGGCAAATTCTTCCTTTCACTGAAGGTCTGAGGAAATTTTCTCCCATGGGGCTTATGAAGGACTGGCTAAGTGACCTAAGAGGCAACTTGCTCAATGTATCTCACCCATAAAACCAATAATAAGTAAGCAGAAAACATCACAGCAAAGCTCAGTTTACTTAAAGCAATTTTATAGGAGTAGAGGGACTTGTCTAAACAAAACACAAAACCACACATATACAAGGAGCAAACACACACAAAACACAAAACACTGTCCAAATATGTTTTCAGCTTAATAAATGATGTTTTGGTTTGGTCTAGGAGTAAAATTTAGGAAAATTACAGAAATGAATAAATTTACATATCTTTTAGAATATAATCCTCAGGGAATGTTACTTTTTGTAATTTTGATTTTGACCAGAGTTGGAGATAATAAAATAGGAGGTCATGTCCTCTGGGAAGTTTCCTGCGGGACGGTGATTTTGCTGATTAAAGCAAATAGATTGACATTTGAAACCAACCAATGCAAACAAACAAAAAAGGGTTGAAATCCTCTAATAAAACGAAGGAACCTAAGCAAGATGTTCTGAATGAATGACTGCTGGATCTTTGCCCCCAAGTGGACTTAGCAGGTCCTGGAGGAGAAGCCAATTCCTCCTCAGCCCCATGCCCCACAGAGGCAATCTGGGGTCTGTTTCATCGTACAGAAAGACATGGTTATAGCTCCAAATCTCTCTACCAAACTTTATGTTATACTAACGTTTCCTTTTTAAGTTTATAGTTTTAGAATGTTTTCCTTGATTTTTTTAAATTTTTACTTGCCAATCCACGTGTTCAGTAAAGTGACTATCACCTGAGAGACAAACACAGTTGGCTTGGGTCTCATTCCCTAAGCAGAGGGGGGCCTGTGTCTTTCCTCTGAATTGGATGAGGGTGGTCCTCTGTGGTCCTCTCTGGCTTTGATTTGCACAGGGTTGGGTCTATTTGTGGATCGTCTTCCTACCTCACATTCGCTGTCTCTATTCCATGCTACACTGCATCAGGTCTGGCAGATGATAATTGCTGATTTCCAATTTCTTTTAAGTCCCTACCCAAGGAATTTGTGTTTGCACCAGACTTCAGTTCAGGAAGGGGAGCAGGGAGAGGGCAATACATAGAAATTTACATCACAAAAATATGAATATAAATATATTTGAATATTGGACATCACTATTTTAAGTCCCCAAATCCTGCTTTTAACTGGTTCTGTGGCAAAATCAGATTTAAAAAATACATTTTTGTATGGATTTATTTTGAATGATGGCTTTAATCAGCAAGTGGAATTTTTTTCCTGCCAGTCTTTCACATCTTCCCCCACTCTCTTTTTTTTCTATTAAGATAAATATGAAGAAGACACTAAAGTCCTCAGTTTGTCCTTTGGTCTAATTAGTTTAACAATTATAATTATAATACATTTAGATATGAAGATGTGTTTTCAAATATGCATACTTATATTTTGAAATAGAGCAATGAATAAGATGTGAGGAATTTTTGAGGAAAGAACAAATTGGTAGCACTAGAAGGAGGAAGAAGCAACTCTCAAATGCTTGAAGTTTTAAGACATAGAAACTAAATGACCCGAATGAAGGTTATATTTATATTTACATTTATACTTTTATTTGTAAAAAGGGAGTCTTAGTATTGTTTCCATTTTTATTTGAAAATAAGTCCTTTTACATTTTGTATTTTAAACACAGTTGTGCACAATATCTTTTTTCTTTATTCTTATTAATAGAAAAGTCACCTTAACTTTACTGGCTAATAGGCAATAGTAGGTTAACTCATCCAACACACATTTTGTGTCAGGCACCGTGTTAATTGCTGGGAATATAAAAATGAATGAGATGTAAGCCTATATAGAACACTCTTGCTCTGGGAGACAAGAAAATATGTATTATAAATGTGTTAAGGGTTCACATAAGAGACTAATATGGAGCATAACCAGTGATCACGGATTCAGAAATTAAAACCTTTAAAAATGCAATTGATTAAGGCTGGTATATAGCCATTAATAAGCCTAACATATAGTTACTGTGGTGAAAGTAATTTAATACAGTATTTTCTGCTTTTTATACCTGTGATACAAAGATAAACACATGCAACCTTTAAATACAGTGTGTGTGTACACTAGATATATTAATTTTTAGGGTGTGGAAACCCAATCTCCACATATTCGGGTTTCCCGGAAATGGTGAATTGCAAGCTTCTCTGGACCTTGAGCCAATCTTTTCTTTAGAAACTATAACCAAAACAACCAAAAAATTCTAAAGCCTCATGCCCAAGTAACTTGGAGGGTGGTAATGTCATAAACAGACACAATGAATTCAGAACACTAGTTGATTTGGAGGAAAGGCGTTCTATTCTAGACACTTATGGGGTTTATTATAATATCCTGTTGGAGATGTTGAGCAGGCTGGCCTTTTGAGAGGAATACATGAGAACGTGCATAAGAGTTGATGTAATGGGCAAGATGAAAGTTTGTAAGGAAGTAGTATGGAGTTATTAAAAAAAAAAAAAAAAAGCAGAGGGCTACATACATAATCCTGGGGGATATTCCTATATTAAAACAGGCAGAGAAGACAAAAGCCAAAACAATAACCATAAAAAAAAAAAAAAAAGGAAGGCATGGTCTAAAAAAACAAAAATAGAAACAAACCTGTTCTAAAATAGGACCATTGAATTTTGTTATTATATTTAGGTTTTGCTAATTTATTTGAATGTTTAATACTTATCCAGAGACAATTAACAGAGGCATTTTTAACACCTATTTGGTTGAGTTACTTCTGATATTTTTCTGTTTCATTTCTAAATGCTAATTTCATGAAGTAGGCAAATATAAATAATCCATATTTATTGAATATATTTTGCCCTTGTAGCCTGCTCTCTATTTTAACAGCCTCACTCAGTTTTCAGTTATGAAAAATAGAAAAAATGAAAAAATACTTAAATTACTTAAATACTTGTTTTTTTATTCCTAAGAAGAGTAATTTTTTCTAGTTTCTCCTGAATGTCAAATCTGTTTCCCATGGGATAATAATATTGGTCTTCATAGGATGCTTTTTTTTTTAAGTTTATTTGTTTTGAGTGAGGGAGAGAGAGAGAGAAAAAGAGAGAGGGAGAGAATTCCTAGCAGGCTCTGCATTGTCAGGGGCTCAAACTCACAAAATGCAAGATCATGACCTGAGCCAGAACCAAAAGTTAGGTGTTTTAACCAACTGAGCCACCTAGGCGCCCCCAAG